ATGAGGATTCATAGACTCCCCCTTATGAATCCTTATTGCCATCCTTTACCATCACCTCATGCCAAAAATATCCCTTTGTGCGTTCTTTCATCCTCATTGGCTTTCCTTCCTCTTTCATCCAAATCCACTTTGTTGTTAACGCCACCACTACTGGCGACGCCTCTTCCTCCACCCCACCTCCTATCTTACTAACATCAAACCCCTCAACCTAGATTGGACACTCTTGCTCCATCGTCTAACTGCCATTCCCTTCCTTGAATGATCTATGAAATGCAACAATCTACTATAACTAATCAAAATATTGAGTTCGACAATGATCGCAAGTTTCGTAAATGACTTTCAAAGAGCAACAATCACTTTGTCTGCAATTCTTTTTCGACCTTCCCATACCGAAATGCAAATTTATGTCGCGTCCATTTACTATCAAAGAGTCAGTGTAAGGTCAAAGGATGATTATGTTTCAATCTTCAATGAGAACCATGTGTGGGCAGACCATGTTCTTCAATTTCTCTATATCTAAGGTGGGTTGAAAGATATGGTTCATTGCTCCATGGATGTCTCCTTTTCTTCTGTGCTTTGAAAATGTTCTAAATGGGGGTTTTTTTTGTGTGATTTATGTTTTGTTTAATCTATTCTCAAATTGTGATAGTTGATTTGTGTTGGTTTTGATTTTCTGCCGATTTGAAGTTACCATTTTCAGAGAGGAAGGAGAAGGACGGCTCTGAGAGAAAAGGGAGGAGAGAGATTTTTTTTTTTGGATGGGGCTATTTTGGTCCTTGTATTTTTATACATATTTAATTAAATATAAAACTACTCATTCCTAGTTAACATACCAAACAAACTTGTGGTAATAAATATTACATTGCATCGCATGGCATCTGATTGCATTGCATCATCAGACTGGTCTGTAATTGAACCAAACGAGCCCTAAATGTCACTGCTGAGAGAGGCTTTTCAGTAGTGACTGAACATGTCGCCACTAAAAATGGCTTTCAGTGGCAACTATGTTTAGTCGTCGTTCAAAATAACTTTCGGCAGTGACTCAAATGTCACCACTGAAAGTTTCTTTTAGTGGCTATGCTAGATGCTGTTCAAAGCCTCACAAAGTATAGTTTCAATTATTAAAAAACCACAAATGTATTATATGATAATTTCAATTATTAAAATGATAAAATAATTTTTATGTATTATATTACTATTTATAATAAATTTTTATCATTTTTTAAATTATTTTGTTTGATTTGCTTATTAGGTCGGAAGAAGCAAACGTTGATTTTTTCCTTTGATTTTTGTTCGAAAGCTTGTTGAAATTTTTGGGTCTTCAGTTAATTCTACGAGCGGCCTTCCCTCACTTTTCCAGACGTTTAATTAGGGCTAATTGCTTATGTGTCAAATTAACACAAGTGGTAGAACTTGATAAGTTACTTGGACCTAATAAACCTAATTAATAACTTGACCTAAACTTTGTCGTTTTTATTATATGCAGCATAGATGTTATCGTTTTTAAAATTAAGACTTGCATTTTTCATATATATATATATAGATATATTTGAGAAAATTTGTCATGAATCTCCATTTGAGAACTTATTTGAAAAATTATAGCTGAAGAATTTAGGTCCTTGAGGAGAAAAAGAGAAGTATGGAATGATCACAATGCCCCTAATGATGTACAAGTCACCTTTCCTAATATGCAACTCACCTTCCCTAATAATTCACCAATTGGAAAGGTCTTCAATATTGAAGAAAGTCAATTGCATAAGAAAGGCCACTTGCGTGTTTGAGAGGTGAGTTGTATTTTGGGAATATGACTTGCATATTAGAAAATTTGCAAAGAAAGATCGGAAACTTGAATATTAGAGAAGGTGAATTGCATATTATTAGGGGTAGTGTGGTCATTCCATGTATTTTTCTATTTCTCCTTAATGACCTAAATGCTTCATCTACCATTCTCCATAAAAGTTCTCCAAATGGAGATTTATGGCGAATTTTCCCAATTTAATCTAATGAAATCATATATATGTGTGTGTGACTCTGTCAACAATTTTTAGCAGCGATAATAATAGTAGCCGCTAAATGTGATACTTTCAACGGTAACTATAAAACGTTACCGTTAAAAGTGACTTTCAACAGCTAATATAATTGTCGCCACTAGAAGTCAGTGTCATCTTTTTAGTCCTTTCTTTATCACTAATTATTATAATTTTTTCATTTTTCTGTAAATATAACATTTAACATATGAAAATTTTAAATGTGTTATTATATCATGAAGAAATAGAATAAGGTAATTAATAAATTTCCATTTTCAAAAGTTTTGTGGTTAAATTAATAATTTAATTTAAAATGAATGATGCATCACTAATATATGTATTTTTTATAATTAAACTAGTACATATAGCCGAGGTGTAAATGTTCAAACTTTAATTTTATTATTGGTTTGTATACTTAAAAACAATTATTTTAATAATTTGATATGTAAATTATGAAAAAAGATATGATTAAAGTACTTCTAATCTTAAATATAAGAGTTAGTATAAAAGTTCTTTTTTTTTAAATATAAAACCTAATCTAATTTGTCTCTTAAATTTATAATTCTTTTTCCAAATTCTCCTTGCACATATTAAGAAGTATTCATCAAGAAATAGTTTCTAATTTAAAATAGCCATATGTATACTTTAAAGAAATCAACATATGTTTTTATACAAACAGCTAAGTTAACTAATTTTTTTTAATCTTTTTATATCTATATAAAACTTCTTGAAATATAAATATAATTCATATAATTAAGCCTATAAAATTTTAATAAATTTATCTTCAATTCATATGATATTTTTTTTCTTTACACCTTAATCAAAATATCCTTCTAGATAGATTAGATATAATCATATTTTTGTCTAAAAAGTATATTAAATATATTTATATGATATTATATAATTATTTAATATCATCTTGAAATATCAATGTAAATCATAAATTTATTCTACAATTTTTAATAAAGCAATAGCTGAGAAATAAAAATAAAAAAACTTTTTAAAAAAGGGTAAATTTTACCAATAAATTCTTAAAAATTATATAATTAATTTAGATCGAAAATAAAGTCTAAAGCAATAAAAAATATATAAGGGGTAATAAAGGATTTTTTATTGTTATATCATATTTTTTAAAATCAATATATTAAATAATATTATTCACTGAATATAGATAAAACATTCTTGCCGAAAAAAATTGAATAAAAAATTTATTGAATGTATTATGTTGTATTCATTATATAAATATTTTAGTTTATTTAAAAATAATATCATAAATATTATATCAATATACATTAGTATTATATATTTTATATTTCAGCTAACAAAATATTATATTTTATATATATCGATATAAATACTAATATTAACATATACGTTAATATGGGTAAAGTTTAATGTATATATTAATATTTATATATTTATATAAGATATATATATTAATAAACATATATATATTATAAATAACATCGTGTGTGTATTTAATTTTGTAACAAAATGATGGAATCTCATCACAATTCACATGACTGGAGGCTTCACACTACGACAAGGTGATCATGGATTCAAACTCGGAGTAGGTGCATTTGGGAGAAGGCATCCTTTGAGCAGACCTAAGGGTCCGTTTAATATGAGAGAAACAGAGGGAAAAGAAGGAGAGGAAAAATTTTGATGAGCTCGTTTTAAAAAATTGAAGTAGAGTTAAAATTTTTTGATTTATTTTAATTATTCTTTTAACTTATATGTTCTTCTTTTAAGAGATTTAAAAGAAAAATGTAATTCCATCAAGTTGTGGAAGAGATTCAACACCCATTTTTTTTAAAAAAAGAAATTCTACAGCTAACTACAAAATAATTTGCATCTAGAAGTTTCTAAAAATTAACATAAAAAATTGAAAACAAACTTGTCAATTTTATTATATAAAATAAAATTATGAATTTATACATTAAGTTAGGGAAATTTGACACTCATGTAAATAAAATTACAACGGATGAAAATGTATTTGTAATTAATGTTTTAAAATTTTTCATGAATATTAAAAAAATTGTATATATGAATGTATCACTAAATTAATTTTTAATTTATAATCACCTTAAATGGTATATAGAACTTTTAAAATTATTTTATTAGATTTAATTTTTTTTTTGGAAAAATGGTTGAAAAATCCTCAACCACAAAAATTTTGCCCAAAAGATTCCTAAGGACTCACCTCCTTGTGTGGGTGAACTCAAGCTTAGTGGATTTGGAGTTCTCCTATTTTTCCTTTTTTTCTTTTTCTTTTTCTTTTAAAAATCTCATACCCAACCTTAAATAAAAGAATTGATAGTTTAAATTTGATATTTTACAAAATTATTATTATAAATACAAATAAATAAATTTAAACCATTAAAATATTTAACATGTACAATTCAAAATTGCGTTATAGAAAAAAAATAAAAAAAATTAATTTATAAAATGTTATAGTAATAATTTTATAAATATTAAATCTGAATCGTTTATTTTTTTTATTTTAAAGGCAGAGATGAGATACTGAAAGGTAAAAAGGAGAGGAAAAAAAAGGAGAGGTTAAAAAAAAAAGGAGAGGATAATGATATGCTTCCAGTGCAACTTTTTCTCAAATATCTACAAATCTACAAAATATCTTTAGATATATGTAAATATCTTTTGATTTGTGCGTAATTAATTAAATAACAGCTTAGTGTTTAAACAAACTTGAAATTTCGTCAGCACAATAAAAAAACAAATTTGAGTATTTTTCAGCAATTTTCATCTCTCCCTCTTCCTCTTCCCTTTCCACTTACAAAGTCCACTTCACTCTCTCTCCTCGCACGTGCTCTGGCCAGTCCATTCGTCTTCCCCATCTCATGGCTCTTATTATATATCTCAATATCTTCTTCCATTAAAGCTCCGCTTTTCTCTATCTCTCTCTTTCTCAGAGATCTGAGAAAGCCAGAGGGAGTAATACGTAAGAGACCCAGACGCCCTTTGAGAGTTATACGTCAATGGATATGTTTCTTTCAGGCTCCTTGCTCATTGATGACCTACTCAACGTCTCCAACGTAGACCTCACCACCATCTTCACCGACTCCCACCGCCGCCACCTGCCAATCCTTCCTCCGCCACAAAACCCATTTCACCAATCCTCCTCCTCCGGCTCCTCCTTCAACAATCCTCCTTCCCTTTCTTCCGCCGACCTCAACGCCGATCTAAGCATCCCCGTATGTAGCTCAACACAATTCTCAGTTTTAGGTCTATCTCTCTCAGTATCAGTTTAATCATCATGGTCACTATCATTTCTCTCCGATTAACTCATATATTTATATATTGGTGAATTAGAGTCGTTTGTCTGTTGAATCTATAATGGGTTGAGTTTCTTCTTGATTTTTTTTTCATTGTCTCTTTTCCTTTTCTTAGAACGATGACGTAGCCCATCTGGAATGGCTCTCGGAATTCGTGGACGGTTGCTTCCATGACGAGTTCCCGACGATAGGTGAGACGATGATGATGACGAGTTCCTCTGTTCCGCAATCCGACGCGTCGTTTACCAGCAAAGCTGATCATCATGGCAAGCGTTCGAGAGCGGCCAGTGGGAAATCGCGACCCAAAACAGAGCCAAACGGCCGATCGTATGCTGCGGCGGCTTCGGCGGCTGCAGAGAGATCAGGTGTGCGTAGGTGCACCCACTGTGCATCGGAGAAAACACCGCAATGGCGAAGCGGACCACTGGGACCCAAGACGCTGTGCAACGCCTGTGGTGTGAGGTACAAGTCGGGTCGACTTGTACCCGAATATCGACCCGCATCCAGTCCGACGTTCGTCCTGAGTCAGCACTCGAACTCGCACCGGAAGGTGCTTGAGCTCCGGAGGCAGAAGGAGATGGGGTTGGTCAAGCAGGAAGCGCAACCAGAATAATCACTCCACCTGCGCTGCACGTGATAGACTGGATCCAGGCTCGTTCTTAATAAAAGTTATTACTAGTGTTAATTATTTTTTTTTATATGTGGATCCTCTAGTTCTTTTTTTAGTATAAAGAGGATTCTTTTTTTCTCCTTGATCAGTTAGAGGTGGTCTCGGGGATTGAATTGAACTAGACTTTCTTATTTTCTGACGAAATAATGCAGCTTTTAAGATTTGGTTGGAAAAATGGCAAGGATTATTTAAATTTAATATGAATATTTTTGATGAAAATAATTTTTTTATAACAGTGCTAATTATATTATATGAAAAGGAAAAAATAAGGGTATTTCTCTTCTCCGTTATGTGTGGGATTTTCTAAAAACCCATTTGAAATAGCTTATAAAACGTTTTGTAATTGTGATTTATGATATATAAGTATATACTCCTCCGATCCTTAATATAAGACTCAATTGTTAAGTTGGTTTTGATCCTAAATATAAGACTCATTTTTTATATTTATCAATTTTCTCTAAATTATTCATATGGATAAAAGGGGTATTAAAAAAGATGATTATGGTATTTTAAGAAAAACGTGTCACATTTCTTATAATTAACTAACTTACCTAATTTTTTAAATCTAATCAAATCAATTAAATGGTTTTTATATTAAAAACCGAAGGAATAAGAGAGTTTTGTCCTGACTTACATAAAACAAGTTTGTAAGTGTTTATATAAGGCACCCAAATTAACACTAAGCAGCTTGTATGGCTACGTCTCTAGCGCCGCTCTTGCTAGTGTTTGTTGGGAAGGGTGTGGTGGACAAGCGTGTAGCCGGTGTGGATGAGTTTTTTTTATTTATTATTATTATTGTTATTATTATTTTTCATTTAGCGGAGGGTTAGAGTTTCTTTTCTGCGCATGAGTTGCGGTGGGGATGGATTCGTGGGACGGCATTAGAGGAGATGAAGGATGGTTTAGGGACCATAAGGATTGAAGACTGTTGCTATGGACAGACAATTTCAAAGGAGATGGTGAGCATCGAGTTTCTAGCTTTCTCCTCAACGTCCACCCTCTCATAAGCCCTTTGATTTCAATATTTGGGATCTTTTTGGGTTGGCAGTGGTTTTTGGTGGCTTTACACAGATCTGGTGGTGCTTATTTTGGGGCAGTTTGGTGGTATCTTTTGATGTTGCAGTGTGTCGCTGTATTGATGCTGTTGTTATCGGTTTTACTATTCTTCACCTTACGAGAGGGTGGTCGTGTAGTTCCTGTGAACCTGCTCTTTTAAATAGCAGCTATGATTCTAGCTTTTTGGAGTCCATGAACCCCCATCCTTTATTTCCGATGTGTCTTCCGGAGATTCTATGTTCTTTCTAGTCTTTTTTCCAATAGTTGTGACATGGCTAACTTCCTGTGTGCTCTTCTTGGTTAGGGTTTGTGTTGATAGTTTTTTTTTAAAAAAACAATTATTTGGGATAAGGGTTTTGCATATTTAGTGCCTTGGCTTTGTTATGCGTCCTGGACTTAAAATCTTTTTTCTGCCCCTAAATATATACTTATTTCTAGGGGGGGAAAAGTACATATAAGATAGTGGCTCTATTTGGATCAGCGATTGGAAAAGCTGCTTATTGAAAAATTAGCTTATGGATAAGTGGAGTTGGGTAAAAGTTAAATTGGATAAGTTGAATTGTGTTTGGATTGGAGTTCAAAAAAGCTAATTTGCAAAAATGAGATTGGTAAAAAGTTGTTTGGATTATGATTGAGTAAAATTAAGTTTGGTTGTAAAATGACCAAAATGGGTATGAATTATAATAAATAATTAAAAATGATAACAAGAATGATTTCACATAATACAATGAAATTAAAATAATTTAATATGAAGAAGTCAAATTTAATAAGTGAATTAAATTTTAAAATTTTAGAGAAATCATAAAAAATATTTTAAATATAAAGTGAAAGATGAAAAAAAAAATGAATTGAGATAATATAATGAAGAAATGAAATTTATAGAGTGAATGAAAATTGAAAATTTTAGAGAAATCATAAGAAATATTTAAAATATAAAGTGAAACATGATAAAAAAATAAATTGATATAATATAATAAATTTAAATTAATTTAATACGAAGAAGTGAAATTAATTGAGTGAATTAAATTTGAAAACACTATAGAAATGAAAAAATAGAGCTTTATATAAGAAAGTTACAGTAAAGGACTACCCACTTTTATAGAGGCAGGTTTAAACAAAAAATGGAGCTTTTGATAGAATTATTTTACTCCTCCGTCAAATGGAGCATACCACTTTGAATTCAATTCTACCCGGGTCTTTTACTCCTCCGTCATGCCACGTGTAAAATAAGCTCTTAAAGTGATCAATAAGCCAGAAAATGGAGCTTGAGTCACAACGTACGTTTTCCCAATTTAAAATACATAAGCTCTTTTTTTTATTAAAACCCAACCAAAGACTCCAAATTTTCTAATTGGGGTTGTAGTGTCTATAAGCTGCTTATAAACCCAAAATAATTGATGCCAAACAGACACAATAGCACACATCAAACACCATTTTATGGAAAAGTCTATAAGCCAAAACATATACTCCTCCGGTCCTTAATATAGGACTCAATTGTTGAGTTGGTTTTGGTCCTAAATGTAAGACCAATTTCTCATATTTATCAATTTTCTTTAAATTACCCCTATGGATACTCCCTCAACCATAATCAAGTAGAAGAGGAAAATGTGGTATTAAGAAAGATGATTATGGTATTTTAGAAAAAACGTGTCATATTTTTTATAATTAACTAACTTACCTAACTTCCTTAATCTAATCAAATTAGTTAAATGGGTTTTATATTAAGAACTGGAGGAGTACAATTATTACAATTACCCAATCCGATGATCAAATTAAAGCCTTCAACAAACTAAGCAATAAATTAAAGGATACTACGACCAACTTTTAGCATAACATGATAAGTAATGTCGTAAATGAGACGAAGAAGCGTGTTGTTGAGGTGTCAAGGCAAAGGCTAGCATACGCCGGACAAGGTTTGGTTAAACGAAATCATTGGAGCTATTGATCGATATAGCACTCCAAAGATTTTTAAATATATACTTATTATTATAATAAACTCTTCAGCATTCAGATATAATTATAATAGTATAAATTTAAAATTTTGAACTAATGATTTTTAAATAAAAAGGTTATTTTTTAAAAAAATTTACAGTTGAGATATTACATTTATTTCGGATTATCTACATATTAAAAAAATATTTTTAAAATAATAAAAGTATAAAAATTAAATTTCAATTGTGCATATAAAATCTGAATAATTAAAATTTGATAAGTATTATGATGATTATCATTGCCACAAGCATCACAACTGATTCCGATGTGCTTAAAGAAGCCACGTATGTTATTGCGGTGAAATTCATACTTTGGAACCCACAAAAACCAAAGTCCAAGGGCTCACAAAAAAAAAAAAACTACGAGTGATTCTTCAATTTTTGGAGCCACCACATGATCACCCGAGCTATGTGTACCCCTCTTTAAAGTCAATGAATTGTCTAGCAGGTTTTCTCATAAAAAGCAGCTTACAGTACCTCTCTTGCCATCTATAATCCTCACCAATGGGATGTTTAGTTAAAACCCAACGATGATTTGAAAAATAGTTTTTTTAGAGAATAGATTCTATGAAGAATAGATTTTGTGAAAAAATAATTAAGATAAAGTGAGAGTGTTTGAATAGTTGTTATTAGAAGCATTTTATATATGTGCAAATTATTAAAAAATGTATAAATTAATATGATAATTACATAAAAGATAGATTTTATAATATATTTTAATTTGAAGAAATAAAATTGTTAATAATATATTTTTTACCAACATAATTAATAATATATAAGATAATGTTATTAATAATTAATTAATATGTGTATATATATTTATAAAATATAATATTAAATATGTTTATAAAAAAATAATTGAGAGGTGTTAAAATCATATTATCATTGAGATCTATTTTAACAGGCATAATTATACTTTCCCATATGAGTTAGAAGCAGAATGGATTCACTTTTTTTGAAACCATGATTTTGAATTCAAAACCATGGTTTTCACCTAAAACCATAGTTTGTTAAATTCCCTCTCTGTTTGGCAAACCTGAGATGGTTTGGGTGCCCAAACCATGGTTTCCTATGTTACCTAAACAAGCCAATATCTGCCTCAAACTTGGGAGAGTCATTAGAGAAAAATATTTTATAAGTATTAAAAAAAGTAAAGTACAATTTTGAGGAGAATTATTGGTTACTTAAAAAAAAAGTAATAAAACCAATTTATTCTTTATTTTGGTCCAGCAAAACACTTTGTTTTTATGCTCATTGGGTGAATCTGGTTACTATAGTTTTATTCATTATTTTTTATTTTTTTCTCTGAGAGAATAGAAAATATTTCATAACTAATTTTCGATGATTGCTGAACATTTATTCTAAACTTTGTTGTACTTCGTCTTACTTGTAGATCTTTTTTCTTTATTTTGAAAATTACATAGGCCTTCTCTAAAAATAAACATTAAAATAGACAAATTTCCTCTGAGTTTTTTTGGGTGATAAATACACATCTATTTTGAAAATGAAAGATGAAAAACAGGCATTTCCCTAAACTTAAAAATTTGATTAGTTTTTATAATATTTTTTTTTTACAGATTCTTGTTAACAAAGATATGCCTCTTTGAATTTCCATGGAGTTCATTAGGTTAGGGATAGAATTAATCGTAAAAATCAATTTTTGAATTTTATACAATTTTTTATTTTTATTTTGATATAATATACAATATTTTTCATACTGTTAGTCCATGAGAACAGAGTGCATGACTGCATGCTTGGAAAATAGAAAAGAAACCTTTATAATTTTAACTAAATTGGAGGGATGTCAATATATTTGATTTTTTTTAACCAAAATATATTTTATTTTAAAACATTAACACTAAACACTAAATTATACTTTGTTAACTTCAAAATATAAGAATTTATAAATTTGACCTGGCATATATATTAAGAGAAAATTTAAACAATCAATCTCATATTTGAATGTAAACTTTATAATTAAATTGAAAAATGGATTTTCAATTTGAAAATAGGTTAAAAAGCATCAATAGTGACGAAACAATATTCAAATTTTTGTTAAAAATGTCTATATCTAGTGCCCGCTTTCAATACTAACCAAAAAAATAGTAGTTAGCAAATAAGTGCTATATTAGGTTAAAAATTAAAATTAGTCAAACTTATAAAAGTATACTTCAATTTTACATATGATGTCGATTTGATTTTTTAAATTTTATAAACATTTTTTAAATTTTATAAACATATTTATTTGTCCAATTTTCAATTAAAGAAATATGTTGCTTATCATCTTCTTGACATTATCGATGAACAGTTGCCCTCTTTTTTAAGTTCTTCCACTCTATTGTTTTTGAATTCTCTCTTTTTGAAAATAAAAAATAAAAATATTCAAATTAGTGGACCTCTTTTATCTTTCTCTTTTTTTTTTCCGGTGAAACCTCATTGATCTTTTAAAAAAAATTAGTGACCCTAATTTTTTCCGGTTCTGCCACCCTTTTTATTTCTCTTTTAAGATCTCAAATCTAAATCATTAGACAAAAATGTTCAAATAATTTTATTCTCCAAAGAAAGGAAGAAACAGTCAATGATCATAATCATATGAATATTATATTGGAAAAATTGTCACGAAGTCATAAGTTCAGTATAAAAAAAAAAAAAAACCTGCTCACTCTGCTGGGAACCTCATAGTAATCCTCTCTATTATATTTTCAAGTCCAATATCTTCCTATTCAATGTATACTTTTAGGGACATAAGATGAGAATAATTATACGAAATTTTTAAGATATCTTTCATTATTTTTTATTCTAAGGCCACCGAATCAAATGAACATATAAACATACTTTATTTATCAATAAATTTGGGTCTAATGGAAGATGTTACTCTCTTACAATATAGCAAATCAAGATTCAAATCCTTAGTTGGATAGGTGTTTACATTTAATGCTGCTACAATATTTTAAATAAGATTATCTTCAATAGGGAAGATATACTTGTAAAAAAGATATTTAAAAGATGAAAAATTCTTGAAAATAATTATGGGATAAAATTAGGAGAAACTTCTAATTAAATTCAAGAGACCTCATTCCTTTAGATATTCTTGAATGTTACTTTTGACGTTTTTAATATAAAACTTATTTAAGTAATTTGATTAAATTAAAAAGATTAGGTAAATTAGTTAGTTATAACAAATATGACATCATTTTTTAAAAACATTATAATCATCTTTCTTGATGTTTTTTCCCCTCTCCTACCTGATTGTAGTTGAGAATATAGATAGTTTAGAAAAAAAAATTGATAAAAATAAAAATAAATCCTGCATTTAGGATAAAAATTAACTTAATAATTAAATTCTGCATTGAGGAATGAAGGAGTATTAAAATCCCTGCTTCCTTTGGCTCATGTAGTTTCTACAAGATCACTTGCTTGTCAACCCCCCTTAATCCTTCATTATGTGATCTTCCTAATTCTAATAGTCGGCGGGTTTTCAAATTAGGTTTCCTTCATGAAAAAACCAAGTATCAAACCTTAATCACTTATGTAATGTAAGAAACAAAAGCTACATCCACTTATCAACCCCCCCCCCCCAAAAAAAGATACTTCCACTTAATTTAAACCACGAGAAATTCTTGCCATTTACATTTTTTAATAGTCATTTCTGTGTTTCGCAACAACAGTTGTTATAATATATTTATATGACTTCCTAAATTAATATATTATAGGGATAATGTACTTAAATATTTCAAAGATATCTACAAATGAGTACTTAGCATCTGAATTTTTTTTCTTTTTTATATACCTTGAAAGTTTTATTTCGTAACAAGTATAACATAGTTGTTATCTGCCGTTAAATTCAACTGTTAAATTATGTGATTTGATTTAGGACATATAAAAGGAAAAAAAATTCAGATGTTGGATGTTCTTTGGTGAATACTTTCGAAGTATTTAAGCCCCACATCCCTATGTTATAATAAGTTAGACGTTTTATATGTCTATGCTGCATTTTTTTTCTAATTTAGTCTCTTTTTATACTCACACACGCTACTTATACATCTTTCTTTCTCTGCAATGTTTCTATCTATCCTTCAAATATTCTCATATCGGTTTCAAATATTTATACATATAAAAATAAAGTAACAGTAATTATCACATTATGTTACACATTTAACAATTACTCCTCCTGTTCTAAATATAAGATTCATTTTATAGTGTAATTTATACTATAAAATAGGTCTTATATTTAAGATCAGAAGGATTTTTTTTCCCCCCAAAGCATGCATCAAATAAGAATTCCCCTAAAACTGCAAAGGTCATTCCTATTTAGTATATTCAATAAAAATTAAGTTAATTAAAACCAGAATAAATATCTCCAAGAAAAGGTTGGATCCACCGTGAAACATTTAGCGGGAGAGAAAAGAAGACAGAAGGAATAGTAAGATATAAAAACACGCGAGACCCGCAATCAGCAAGTCAAGATGGCCGAGTTGGTCTAAGGCGCCAGTTTCAGGTACTGGTCCGAAAGGGCATGGGTTCGAATCCCATTCTTGACAAATTCTTTTCCTCATTTGTTGCCTTGCTTTTTGACTTATCGTTTTTTATTTGGCCTTTTTGGTGTGTGGCCATTCGCTTTAGTTATTATATATTATCATATGCGGAAGGAAGCAAACATGGGATTCAGAGTATTCCAAAGGTTAAGTAGTTCAATAATCACTTAAACAAAGCCTGAGTGTAATTAAAAATCCTTGCTTGCTTGCTTGCTTGCATGTGCTGGTACGTGGAGCATCTGAAAAGAAAGGAATAGTTGGATTTTAGCATGGGATTTAGAGTATTCACTATTAGCATTTAAAAGTCTTTTTTCTCTACATAAGAGTGTTAAAAAAGGAGCAACATCATCCTAACCGTTAAAAATATTAATAATCAATATTACTTATTTAACAATAAATCATAAATGTTGGCTTTTGAACGGTTAAAATGACATTCCTCTTTTTTTTTTTTTTTTTTTTTTTTAAAACATCGTTTTACCACCTAAAGTCTAAGACGATGTTAAAATTAAAATAAACTTTTGAATATAAGCAACTTGTTTGTAAATTCTTTCAAAACAAAAATGACCCTCAACCTTTTTAATAATGATGAAAGTTATCTCTATGGATTATGGCAACAATGGGACTGCTACATTTCTGGTCAGCAAATGGCACTTTGAAGCTACCTGTTCTTTTAGTTAGAACAATCCCATCATCAAACACACATGTATTGTTTGGTAATGGGAAAAAGTGTTTTTATTTTTTTAAAAGCATTACCCACTTCTTTCTGAAAAAATATACTTTGTCCCGTATCAAACAGGGCTTTATTTGTCTGAATCATACTAAACTTTGATTCCCAAAGGCCAAAAATAACAATAAAAAGAACCAACAAATTGACTGAATGACACAGCCCAAAATTTTTTGTTTTTCAACCCATTGCCAAATCATTTACAAAATAATATCTGACAGTGCTTTCCTAGCTTTTTTTTTATTAATCCGAAAGAAAGGAAAATATAACAAAGAAGACAATACCAATAAAAGAAAAAAGAGAAAGTAATTAAAAAAATATGATACTGTAGTAGTTTACTACACATAGAAATTCGAAGAATACATAAAACTATTTATTTTTCTCAATTTCTCGGACAAGATTCAAGAATAAGATTTTTAAACGTAATCACAAAGAAAAAAACAATTTTGCTATGCTGATAATCGGCATCTCCTTGTGGATGATCTAGAAACACTGTTTTTTCTTACGGTCATGCGCAAGTAATATAATACATTATGGATTTTAACAGATTGATCCAAATTTGAGACATGTGAATCCTCTGCAACTGCAAGTGTGTGTTCCAGAGATATTTGTAGTGGTAGAGATCCTCTCTATTGTTGTTCGCCTCAAATTTCTCTTCTGTTTTTCCGCTTTTTGCTTCAGCAAGCATAGTTTCTTCTGGGTTTTGGCCGCAACTTCAAGGTGTTTCGTCTCTAACTTGTTCTGCAAAAGCACACGACAATTTGTTCAGCCAAAACAACAAAAGGGATATCAATTCTGTTTTTATCCCCTTAAACAAGATAATTGGAGATTAGTTGCAAAGTAGAATTATTAGTTTAGAAAGAGAGACTCATACAGACCTCTAATTTTGCTGAAGTTGTATGAACTAGCATTCTATTTTTTAAATGTACAGACACTTTTTCTGACAATAAAAAAATTATACGGAATGATACTACTAAAAGTTGGCTTCTTGTTGTTGAGATACTACTAAAAGTTCTTGTTTAAAGATTTATTAAGTAGCTTTTTTTATTTACATTATTTTAGTACATTTAGAAAAGGAATTGAGTCTAGAGGGATGAAAAAGTGGTTCATCAAAGAGGAAGGCGTTTTCCCACCTGTGAACAAAACGATCTTTAGTCATATGGTTCATTTTATTGGCAAAAAAAGAAAAACAAAAATCATATGAACCATCTTAATATACATCATAAAACGTACCTGAAATTTTTGCTGAAGTTTCTTCATCTTTTCTACAGCTATCCTGGTTTGCTCCAATTCCCAATCATCTATAGCAGCTTCCTTCCTTCTCATCCTACCAAAACGTTTACATGATCATCATTTCATTGCTAGTTCCTCTGTCAATTCACAAACGCACACACCCACAACTTCCACTAAGATTTGATTACCTTTCTGCTTTCATTTTTTCCCATAAAATTTTAGGTTACTTAGAAACTGATGCCTAGTTATAAAATTAGCACATAGACATTTTAGTATAAAAAACCCTTCTTGAACATTGAACTAAAATGAAAACACTAAAATGGTCCTCATGATTTCCCATGGTTTCTTATGTCTGCAATGTCTGCATTTTCCTTCAAACCCAATGCTAGTCCATGGAGATTGTTAAATTCAAGCAAATAAACAGCCTCTTTTGTCAGATTTAGATGTACATGTTCTAATTCTATAATTATGTGATGGTTCAAAAGGTTACAATGTGAATAATTCCTGTGATTCTCAAGTGCACAATAACGGCAACCAGGATCTCTTATAGTAAATGCATGTGTTTGGAGTGAAAAGGAAGGAAGAAAAAGAAAAATGGGTAAGCTTCAACTCTTATAGGATCAACAAGTGTAAAGGTGAGACCCATCCTTTCACTTTCTTTTTCTTCACTTCAGTTTATTACAGCCCTAGAAGATCTAAGTTCATATATTCGTTTATTGTACATGCTATCATGCCCATATGAGTATGCAAGAAATCAATATTAAACATAAAACATAAAATTTATAGCAACCAGATCATAAACAGTGCAGTTCATTTTTCATACTCCATATAACCTAATTATCAGTAAACTAATGCAGTTTTCTTTATTTCTTTTAACCCCCTCAATTCATACCTTTCCAACAGTTCAAGATGTCTGGCTCTCTTCCGCGAATCCCTTTCAGCTTCCAGCTTCTGCATTTCTATTTCATTCAAGTAGGCGTTATAAGGTTTGGGCCTGCCCAACAACTTTCTCTGTCCTTGATCTCTTTCAGATTTGCGATGTCCATGTATGCTGTTTATGCAGGCAAGACGACTGTGGCTTTCATAAGCAGTACTCTCTTTAACTGAAGGCAGTGTGTTGCTGTAAAGTTCATGATCAAGAAATTTTTTGCACATGGATGAGATACTCAATTTCACTTCTGGGCTTCTTTCATTTTGATCCAAACTATCACCACTATCCTCTGATGAGTGATATCTGGTCATAAAGTTAGTAGGTTTGCAAAATCTGTTTGCGTGCTCCAACCACTCTTCTATTTCACAGTAGCATGAGGAGCAGTGGTTGCTCTCAATGTAGGATTTTCCAAGGTTCTGGGATTTCAATAGTCAAACAGTGTTGATTTCCTCATTATGCAATAAATGTACAAGATAATATGGAACAGGCATCGTGGTAAATCAACAAATTTCATCTTTGGATCTATTAGACATTGAATATATGATATCCACATGCATTATTAGGTCCAACATTCAAGTGAAATCTATTATTACTCAAGCGATCATACACGCAGTATATTCATTTTCAAAACGAACATTTTTTGAGAGCAAATTGAGTTATCAGCTTCCACGTATTCCATAGTAATCCCAGGAAAGAACCATGATCTTGCTGGATATTAAAACGGGGAATTCAGGTTTGGTAACCAAAAACCAGCGATGCATTTGCTTGAGAGGGCCCCTAATTTCGCTATCAACTTTGGTCGGTAAGGAAAAAAGCTTAACTTAGAATTGCTGATAACTTTAAAAGAGTTGTAAATAAAAAGTTTTCAAAAATAAAATATCATATCAGTTCAAGCAGAGTGCATTAGTTAGTTAACTTATCATGATATACATTTGTTCTTAAATGGAATCGAGAGACATTCGTTTAGGCAAGATTCTTGCTGCTCCAGGGTCAAGAAACACGAACAAAGCACTAAACATTATACTTCTAACAAAATCCACTTATAAAACCAAGAACAGGTAATAAAATACCAAAAAGGCAACGAATTTAGAGAACCAAAAAAGATCCATCTCCATGGCATCGTAGAAACGCACAAGCAGATCTAACTAATCAGAGTAAATAAACTATGAAAAGATACCGAAAAGGGAAAGTAATCATTAGCTGAAACGACAGAAATTGATTCAACGTCTGGAGCATGTCTTTTCTTGGGTTAGGAGTAATCAATGTACCTGGTTTCTTGGGGAGGGAAATTGGGAGGCAATGTCGGAGTAGAACGTGTCTGAGTCCGAAGATGAAAGTTGAAACGGGTGGCTGCAAATCGGCGAGGGAGATTCAGGAAGAAGGGGCACGTGTTGTCCGGCATAGCCATCTTGATGCAGAATTCTTCTGGTGAAGGGCCTTGATGAAGAACGAAAAGGTAAAGGGGATTCGGATAGGTTGAGAACCCTATGGTTGTTGAAGTTGTGAGGAGCGAAATCTTGAAGGTGAGCTTTCTGGTGTTTGGTTTCTTGCATTTCACTCTGCGGCTCTGAGCATTCTCCTCTGCTCGCGAGCACTCTGTAAGTCTGTATCTTAACGGGAGCAGCAAGGCGCACAGAGAGGCTGGTAAATTTATAAGAAAAAAGGAGAAAGGAAATTCTATTTCATAAGAATAAATTTAAAATGTTAACAAAAGGATTTGAATTTAAAAATAATTTCTAATCAGGATTCTTAGAGTTGTTGTGTATTGAATCTATAGAAAAACTTTTTGGTAAATGTTTTTTAAATCTATTTCTTTTTGAATTCACTCTAAAAAATCTCGAGAGATATGTTTTTTATTTTATTAAAAACACATATTTACACATTAAAATTTGTTAGTTTTTCTTAATTTAATCAACAAGAATATTCATATATTTTTTAAGGAAAAATGAAAAAAAAATTGAAAATTGTCAATTCTTAAAGGAAGTAAACCCAAATTAAATTTTAAAATTTAAGAAAAATAATAAAAATATTTTTTTTTTAAAAGAAAAAATTTCCACCCTCTGCCAGAAGCTCGCCACCCTCAGAGGCTACTGGGCTGTGATTTATTCGCTTTATAATGCCAAAAAAAAAAGTTAATTCCTTTACTTTGGGTTAACATGAAGTAACATGTAAGTTAATTAAAAATAACAATTTATGTAAAAATAATAAGTTTTAATTGAAAATTTACAGGTTAAAGCGTGATATTAACCAAGTGTTTTTTCTTGTTACATGAGAGGAAATAACATGTGAATTAATTAAAAATTATAAGAATTTATATAGAAATTATAAATTTGATTGGAAAATGATAAGTCTAAACTTAAAATTAACAATGTGTTTTTTTACTGATACATAATATATGAAAAATGACAGTGTCATTTTTCGCAATCAAGACTTTCATATCCAAATAAATTGTTGTCATTTTTAATTGATTCACATGTTATTTTACATTAAATCAGAATAAAAGAATTGACTTATATTTCTTTTTATACTATAAATTTAACAAATTATTGGTAGCCCAATAATCACCTAATCTTTTGTTGGCCCAAATGACTATAATCAAATCTCACCCTACCACTTTCCTAAAATAAATTTTCATGACAAAAACAAATTCGGCCACATTTTCTTTTTCTCCAAAGCCTTCAAATCCTCTTTGCACACATTACATCGATAAAAATTACTCTCTAGATCATTCTTTTCTTCTCCTTTCTTTTTCCCTTGTGTTATAAGGAGAATGGACAATATCATTTTTTTTAATTAACTAGCTCTTATATTAAAAAAAATTAACTAGCTCTTGTATATAAAACTAAAGGTAGTATTACAATGTTAAAAAAAGACAACATTTTCAAAAATATTTTTTTTGCTTTTCATGGAACCATGATTTAAGGTCAAACCACATTGTTAGAGCCAAACTATAGTTTTATAAAAATGTGGGGTGTTTAGTAATTTTTTAGGTGAAACTATGATTTGGGTTCCAAAAATAATTTTGACAGGTTTGTCAAAACATGGGGTCTTGTTTATTTCAGCTAGTTTGGCCTAGACTTGGTCTCTGTTTGTAGTTTTTCTTCTCAAGATTGTCACAGAACTTGTGTGTCTCTATATGCATAATTGTAGATTGCCAATATGATTAATATATATTTAAAAATATTTTGAAACATTAAATATTTTAAGATTAATAATATCTTTAGATTTTAACTTTGACCTTGTTTTAATTTTGATTCTGAAATTTGATTTTGATCTGGCTAAATATTTCTGGCTTGATAATAGTGGCTTTGGTCTTTAAAACTTTCAAAATCATTTGTTTTAAATTTCAAACTAAAATAAAAATGAAGTCAAATTTTAAAAATTGAGGATAATATTAACCAACATTTTTATTTGGAAATTGCTGCTCTTTGGTGGTCTTATGTCACAATTTTTATCTAGCCTTATTTCATGTATATATTAAAGAAGTGCAAAGTTGCAGCGTCATGTTCTTTTCTAATTATATCCAGCATACTAATTTTATTTAAAGTTATTTGACCCGAAAATTTTTATTTAGAGTTAATATAATCTTTGGTCTTTACCAGCTTGTCCTTATTTTGGTTTTAGTCCCTTAAATTTCAAATCATAGGTTTTGGTCCCTCAAAAAGCAAAATAGTCTAAGTTTTTATTGGATTATAAGGATTAATTTTTAAATAAAAAAACTTGAGAGATCAAAACTTATGATTTGAAATTTGAGGAACCAAAACAAAAATTAAGATAAAATTAAATGATCAAAATTTGTATCAACCCTTTTTATTTATGATGTATCCATTATCCTAATTCTCTTTTGATTCTAAATGTAAAACCTTACAAAAATGGGTCTTATATTTAAAATCGAATGAGTTTTTTTTTTAATGTTTCTAGTATCTTAATTTTATTTATAATGCATAATCGCTTTAAATCATAAATAAAAATAGAATGTTGGGTGCAATTGAATTGGATGTATCATGAATAAAATTAAAATGCTAAATACTGGTGAGAAATAATATTAGAGTGCTATGCGGTATGCAATGACTTACCCATTAAAAATGATAATTGGATTAATACTATTATTATTTCTGCATAGAAAGTATGTAAGTGATTTTAAAAATAATTTTATAATATATAAAATAGGTGTGAGAAGAGTTTTGTTTTCACTAACATAAAATAACATGCCCATTAAAAATGATTAAAAAACTGGATTAATACTATTATCCTTTGGAGAAATTACAATAACATCCCATCCTAAAGAATTAAATAAAAAAAATCTCTTAAAATTATCAAATTATTATCAAGTTCATTGTAATAATTTTTATTTATTTAATTATCTAATTGCTCTTGTTTTTTTAAGTATGTATTAACAACTAGAAAGTAGTTGTTAATAACTTAAAATATAACGATTAACAACTATCACTGTAGATATTGATAACACATTTTTCTCAGTATATCACAAAAGTGTAATGTATGAGTTGTCAATATCTATCTTCATACTCCTTCCGGTTCAAAATATAAACTAAACTTTATCCATTACATTTATCAAGAAACTAATTAAAATTAATTTAAAATTTTTACCAAAAGAAATCAATTTAACACAATAAATGTGTAAGGTATATATTTGTTTTTCCTAATATACCCTTATTAATGAAGAGAATAAGTAAAAGATGTAATAAATGAATTAAAGAGTGAGAGAATATATGGGAATGAAATTAAAAAAATCTTATTAAATGCTTGGACAAAGTGAATGTTATCTTATAAAAAAAAATGACCATTTTAAAAAGTTTAGCTTATATTTTGAACCAGAAGGAGTAGTTGTTAATTATTACATCTTAAATTATTAACAACTACATTTTTAATTGTCAATTCATATTTAAAAATAAAGATAAGGATAATTTAATAATTAAATAAATGAAATTTTTTTGATTTTAGAATAATTTAATAATTTTAAAAGAGTTTTTATATTTAATTCTACCTTGTTACAATTTTCTTTTATTACCGAACACCGGTTTTAGGGGTTTAAGTAATCCAACGGTCCACAATTAATCTTCCTGTCCTCTACGATACATAAGATAGCAGACAAGATAGAGCGAAAGAAGCCGGGGACAGAGCTGGAGCTGGTAAAGAGGAAGCGAGGTTGGGAGAAGAAAGCGAAATACAGGCAGAACGGAGAACTGAACATTCTACTCCGGAGAAACCCGAACCGGTAATAGCTTCAGATCTTCTCCTTTCCCCTCAATTCCATGAATCCTGTCTCTCAATTCATTGTTATTGCTAACTCCGATTAAATTGAGGCCAAAACTTTGTCGGATTAAACTTCAATTTGTAGAGTGAGCCCTTTGGTAGTGCTTATCAACAATGGCTTCGTAGCTTGTTGGGCGATTTGGTTCTTGTGTGTTCAGTGGGCTGCATTTGGTCATTGCCCCTGTTTTTTCCCTGTTCTTTCTTAGTTTCTGCTGTCGTTTGTTATTCTCTTCTGCTGCTGCTTTCCTCCCTTTACTTCAGCGCAACATTGATATCACAGAAAAACAAGAAAAAACTTCTCTTCGTTGCAACATTGTTATTCTCTGCTTCTGATTTCTTCCATATATTGCGTCTCAAGTTTATCTTTCTTCGTAATGATTTTGAGGGAAAAAGCGTGTGATGATGCGTTGATGGTGGTTTTTTTTCTTTTTTGGGGGGGGGAGGGTTAGTGAAGGAATGGGCTATGGACTTGAAGGGTTATATATATGGTTAACAGATTTAGGTGAATAGTCAAAGAAAAGCAAATTAATTTTTTGAAATATTTTTATTAAATCAAAGCTAGGCAATAATAATTGACCTTAAAGGAAATCAAAATAATTAAATTTAATTTTATTAATAACTGAAAGAAAATTTTGTTGCTGAGTATATGCAGTTTAACTCAGTCGTACTATTGTTAATATTACACGACATTGTAAGGCTCATGTTCCTTTTAGTAATGGTACAGCTAAAAAAGTTTTTGACAAAAATGTATCATCCTAACATGTTTAATCTGTCAAAATCACTCTTAATGTAAAACCATCCAAACAAAAGTTCAAATCTACCCATATTCTATTTTGCAAATGCTAATCTAAACACACTATTAATTGGTTGTGATGTGCTGTTTGAGTTTTAAATTGCGTCATATCATCACTTTCTTCATGTTGTCTCTCGGCCTAATTTCTGCAATGGGATTTGGGGGAGTTAATTTAATAGGAGAGTAAAGCTTGATCATAGTTATATGCATATATAAATACATATACATATGTGCTTCTTTGCGTGTAAGCAGTGATTGAGGCAAACTGCATGCGAGAGGGTTGGAACTATTTGAGTTACTGAGAGTTCGTTAGTAAGTGTCTTTTTATTCGCTTTATAGATACAATGTATGCTTTCTGTTATTCTCCAATTCACTCGCTCCTCGACAATATATGCCTTTGTCATATGGCCATGAACGTAGAAATGTTGATTGATACTTGCTATCTAATTGCAGCAATGCCAATTCCTGAAATAGCTGATAAGGTTTCTTTGAATCGTTGATGAGATTTCATACATAATATGTTCTTTCCTTTTTTTTTTCTTCTTTTTTTTTTTAAATTGTCCTTTGTGAATAACCTATGGGAAATTTTATATCTTGACTCTCCCACTAACCCATTTTTTCCATGGGTCTGTGGAAGAATGACGTGATTTTATAATATCTAACGTCAAAGATGATGATGAGTAGTGTCCAACTGTGGTGGAACCAAGGACCAAAGCTTGGAGTTATGGTAGAATGTGCGCTAACAAAACAAGGTCAGCATTTTCTAAAGAAGGTGGTGACATCTGGAGACCCATCGACCACAAACAATTTGATTAGGAGATTCGTACAAAATTCACCTAAATCAGTGTCTCTCAGCACTCTTTGCCATCTCCTCTCTCCTTCTACAGTACAACCCCTTCTCTCCTCAGTTGCCTTCCCGGTTAGTACTTTACTCTTATCTCTCTCCTTGAATTGATTGTTAGAGTCTCTAATGTTTTTGCAAATTTTGCAGCTTTATGCAAGAATTGCTGAAGCACCTTGGTACAGTTGGAACTCTAAGATTGTAGCTGAGCTTGCTGCTTTGCGGATAAGCAGGAACAATATTCAGCCTGGGAACTCTAATTTCGGAAGCCACTTCCAAATTAGAGTCTGGCTCTCGAGATCTGGCTCTTTTCTATTGTAAATTGTTGGAGTGTCACTCCAAGCAAAGTTCAGAAAGAGGGTTGAGATTGCTTATTTGTACCTAAGCCAGCTTCTTCATAGTTCATCATCCTCTATTTACATAAAACGTCGTGTTTATGAATATATGGTCAGTGGTTTATGTTCAATGGATAGGCCTTGTGAGGCCGAGAATTTGGTTGAGAATATGAGAATCAAAGCACTTGAACCTTCAGCGTTTGAATTCAAGTCTATCATGTATGGTTATGGAAGATTGGGATTATTCCAAGACTTGGAGAGACTTTTGGTTCAAATGGAAAAAGAAGGGTTTGTCATTGATACAGTTTGTTCAAACATGTTCTTTCAGCGTACGGAATGCACGGTGAGCTAACGAAGATGGTTTCATGGCTTCAAAGGATGAGGAATGCATCGATTCCGTTCTCAAAAAGGACGTATAATTCTGTTTTGAATTCATGTCCTGTTCTCATGGAAAATTGGTGGACTTGAATGGCTCCCATTGTCAATTGAAGAGTTGAATGCTATTCTGGAAGGAGATGAAGCTATGGTGGTTGGAGAGCTAATCAGTCAACCGAGATTCTAGAAGAGGTCATGGTTTGGGACTCTAAGCAGGCAAAGCTGGATTTACATGGACTGCATTTGGGTTCATCCTATCTAATTATGTTACTTGGTTGCAAGAATTGCGACAAAGGCTGAACGATCCAGGTTACGCGATTCCTGCGGAAATTGTTGTTGTGTGTGGTTCAGGGAAGCATAGCAGTCTCAGGGGACCATCTCCTGTGAAAACGTTGGTGAAAGGATATGATGGTGAAGATGGAAGTCCTCTGAGAATTGATGATAGGAAGACAATGGTTGTTTTGTTGCTAAAGGTAAAGCTATGAGAGATTGGTTGTGTTGGGACACGAATTAACAAATAGAATATGCAAGATCATATGGGGGCCATCGTTGCCTAACCGTTAGTTAACCATGCTCGCTCCTACATGCATGCTCTCAAATTGATTCTTTCTTTGGCTTTTTCACGTGCCAGAGAGGGGGATTATATCAGATTTATTATTCCGGAGATTAATAAGTTAAAAGAAAAAAATACCTAATATACGTAATTCATTACTTTTTGGTCGTTTTCTATCTTAAATCAAATTTATTTGTTTTTATTTTGTAGTTTAA